TGTTATCATTATATATATCTAAAATGTACCAAGAAAATTAATTAAAAATAAAAGAATAGTAATTAGAATTTTAAAAAGGTTTTTTTTCCCCTACTTATTTTACTAAAGAGCTAGTTCTGTTTATTCATGTTATTTCTTCCTTTTTGTGTTGTTTCTTTCCCTCAAATTTTTGGCAACATTTGGTGCCTTAAGCCCTTACTGAAGTATTTCCAAATGGGTTCCCCCTAAAGTTGTATAAGCATCTTTCCTTAGCAGGCCCTTATTTTGGAACAGAGATATGGTAATTAGCTTTTGTAGGTAGGTTCAATCAACAAGCTATCTTTCCTTTAGAATATAGGTGAGGAATAGGAAGGTGGTCTGCAGCACGGTACAACACTTGCAAAATGAAGAGATGGTAGGGAGTTAGGGTGTATGATAGGCTCATCATCATCATCTTCATCACACTACCACCAACACCATCATCATCATCTTTTTTATTTTAAAGAGAATGAAACAAACCAAAATAGGACAGAATAAAGCCAATCAAAATAAAACAGTGTAGGTGGTACAGGATTTCAAAACAAGATAATAGCAAGTTAACAGTGACTACCATGATGTCTCTTGTCTTCAAAATACCTGCCCACATCATCAGACATAGTAAAATTAAACAGAACAGAATAGAACCAATAAAAACAAAACAATGAACATGACACAAGATTTCAAAACAAGATAATAGTAAATCCAAAATAACTACCATAATATATCTTGTTATCTTGGCAATAGCTGCCCATGCCATCAGATATAATAAAATCAAACAAGACCAATGAAAACAATACATGACTTTAAAACAAGATGATAGGGAATTAATAATGGCCACCACATTCAGAAGGAGATCCCCTATAGATGCTATACTGTGTATTGTTATCCTCTACATAGATCTGATTTCTGCCTTTAGGCCTGCAAAGTTAATGGAACACTGAACACTACAAGCATTAAGTTCTCTTACTCAATAGCTATTATCTCAGCCTGTGAAAACAAGATCAGCTGGTCACTCACAGGTTGTCATGGACCTTGGCTCTTGTCTCCCAGCCCTGCATGCCAGAAGAGACTTACATCTCATTCTCCCTGTGGTCTGCAAATGGCGCCAATTCACAGGAAGTGGCTGGCTTCTTGTTCTTCTTGCGGCCCACACATGGTGCTGACTCATGGGAAGTGCTGGCTTCTTTTTCTCCTCCCTGGGGCTCATGCATGTTGTCAACTCACAGGAAGAGACTGGCTTTTTGTTCTCCTTGTTACCAACTCATAGGAAGGGGCTGGCTTCCAGTGTATATGCTTGATATCCTTATTTTTTATTTTTATTTTTTGTGGCAAAGTTTATTTGAGAAAGTAAAAGTGAATTGCGAGAGAAAATAGGTCTGCAGAATGTACCTAGGCCGAGTAAAAGAAAGAGCAGTAAGAGGACACCCTACAGAAGTCAGGGCCAAACCAGCCATGGTGGCACATGCCTGTAATCCTAGCACGTGGGCGACTGAGACTGTAGGATTGCTGTGAGTTTGAGGCCAACCTGGGCTGCAAAGTCAGTTCAGGCTCAGCCTGACCTTCATAGTAAAACCCTGTCTTAAAAAAAAAAAAGAAAAAAAAAAAAAAGGAAAAAAAAATCAGTGCAGTTACTATGAAGAAAGTCATGGTAGCCTTGATATCTTTTTAATAATCTTAATTCTTTATAAAATTTGCTCGTATCTCATCATTTTATTTTATTTATTTTTTTTCTTTTTCATTTTTATCAGTACTAGGGATCGAACTCACCACCACACACTTGCAAGGCAGGCTCTTATGCCGTTGAGCTAAATCCCCAGCCCCTCATCATTTTATTTAACTGAACTTTTATGTCTTCTTTATGCTTGTTGAACTTTTTATTAAATTCTTTATGGTTTTTAAAAAAATCCTTTATTGTTTATATATCCTGTTTGAGTTCACTGAATATCTTATAGATTCATTTGTTTCTTTTATTTTTTCAAACATTTAACTATTTGATTTTTGAGTTTTTTTGCTTGTGACTTCCTCTACTACAGTGTCTGTGGATTAGCTTTTGGAGAAGTTGAAACTTTGGAGGTGTCTTGATGGCTCGTTTTCTCATGTTTCTTTTTGTGTGGAGGATTAAGAGTCACTGTCACTGTTGTAGTGATCTCTTTAGTTGTATATGTTTCTCTGTGCTAGACTTTGGCTTTGGTTATGTTTTGGAATTTTTGTATCTCTTTATCATATTCAATGTGACAGATCATTTTTGGTTACCACATTGCATGGAAAGAACTCTGGTTATATTAGCACAGAAACATGGAGTCCTCTCAGTTCTATTTGTACTGTAGTCAGAATTTGATCAGTGTGCTCACACTTGGAGAAACTTAATTTTAGCAGTTGTGGTGGTGGGGGTTTGATCTCAAGTCCTTTGTTGAGTCCAGGTGGGTGAATATGTCTGCTGGTGCTTCTGCATGTTTCCCTCTGACGATTTACTGTTTTGTCTTCCAGTGAGTTAATGAGGGTGGTTTGGACTTGTGTCTTGATCCCTATGCAGGTAGTGCTTTGTTTGGTTTCAGCTGTTCTTCAGTGGGTGTGGCTAGCTATGTGTGTTTTGCTTCTGTCTTGTAACCAGTTGTATTGTGAGAGGGAGGGTCAGTGTGAGGTGATGAAGTACTTTGTTATTTTGTTACTTTCTTGTCACTGAAACACAGGACCCAGTACCAACAGTTTGAAGGAGGAAGGGTTTATTTTGACTGACAGATTATAGAGGTTTCAGTTCATATCAGCTGTCTCTAAAGTGGGATGACATTACAGAGGAGAAACAGTTCATGACAAGGCAGACATGAAGCAGAGAATTCCTTATTCTTTCACTCTTTATTCTGTGCAATCTAAAGGCCTATTGCTTGGTGCCATCCACACGCAGAACTGTGCTAGACCAATATGCAGACTAGTCAAATATCACATACCCATGATGCAGACACTCCCAAAAGATATATTTATGAGCACATGAGGCTTTTGGGGGTCATCCAGAAATAAGCTATAACATTCTCCCCCTGGCCTCCAGTACTCTCATGTGCATCCTTTTATACAAAATGCATTTAGTTCACGTCTAGGAGTTGCCAATGGCCTAACAGTTCCAGCACTTGCTGAAAAATCCAATTCTTTATTCTTCTCTTAGTTTTTTTTTTTTTTTTTTTTTGTTGTTGTTGTTGTTGTCTTTTTTGTTTTTATCGGTACCAGGGATCGAACTCACGATTGCCTGCTTGTAAGTCAGGTGCTTATGCCGTTGAGCTAAATTCCCAGCCCCTCTTCTCTTAGTTTTTAAGGCAAACTCTTTAGCTGCAGTCCTCTGCAAAAATGAAAAGAAAGTCAAGCATTCACATTCCAAAAGGTAGAAATAGGGGAATAGAAAGGAATGGGTCTAAAACAAGACAAAAATCTATCAGGGAAAACATTAAATCCTGTAGTTCCGTGTCCAGCACCTGGGGCAATCTGTGGCAAGATGTGAACTTCAAAGGATTTACATGGCCTTTTCTCCATGGTACTGCCAACAGTTGTAGCCTTGAGGATTTCTCTCCTGGGTCAGCTTTGCTCATTCCTTGCAGCTTTCCTTGGACAATCCATGTTACTGGCTTCTCAAGCTTTCTGGGGTCTTCATTCTACCTTCTGTGTTATGTCACAGGTTCACATATTTCCTGCTCCGGGGGGCGGATGTGTGTGTGTCACTGACTGGCCTCTCGGGATTTCTTCTGAATTCTGGGGGTAGCTTTTTGATTTCACAACTTTCTCATTATGCATGCACCTAATATTAGCGACATGTGGATGACACTGAGATTTGCCACCAGCTGGTGCAGTAGTTGAGCTCTGTTGTCTGTAGGGATTTGAGTGCCTGGATTGCTGAGTGCTATGAATCCTGAGGAAAAGATTTTGTAGGCCACACCCATTCTGGAACATTGGGTCCCAAGGCTCTTTTCTCCAAGCAGAGTCTTTCACCTTTCAATTTTAAGGCTGTGAAGAGTGGAGTCCTGCTGGTTCTTATGATGCCCTCAGGCCACCTGTTTTTCTTTTTTTTTAGTTTTGTTCCAAAGTATTTACATTTTTAATGCTTAACTTTTAAGCAACCAAGTTTTTCTTTTCTCCATCTTTGCAGGTCACAACTTTACTGGAGCTTCCTTTTTGGTCCAAAAGTTTTAAAAAGTCTGTTGGATGGTTGGTCTTGATTCTCAAAGCTTCCATCAGCAGCCATGCCTCTGTTTCAACATTAGATTGCATTAAAATTTCTTCCAGATTAGTCCATTGCTCAAGAAGGCATATTGACTGGACCCAGGCTACAAGCAGTACAGTCCTGCTTGTTTTTCTAAATATACTGAAATTCATCTGGCAGGCTTCTTCATGCTGTCTTTCTGTATTTGAGGTCTTTGTTCCCTCATGCCCAATTTCTGAGTACTTGAGCTTCTGGTGACCTGTTTTCCCAGTGGTTGAGGGTACCACTGCCTGTCATATACAATGAATCTTCTAGACTTTTGGTTTTAATGGGTGACTTTTATGTATCTTTCACTAAGATTAAGATAGTAAACCTGAGTTGAGCATACACTGAGCCTGATGAAGGCAGTATAGAGTTTATACTGACTGTATTAAATTCTATGAACTGGACTTATTTCAGAGAATTTGTCCACCCCAGTTATGTTGGACTAAGCTGGTAGTAATCCAAGTTGGCTGGACAAGATTGGAAATTTATAGACTACTAGGTTGGGTTTTAGGGTTAAACGGCAGTGTTTATTACAGAAAAGTAAAAATAATCAGATTGTATTGATATCCTACTTGTAATTCTCCTTACCAAGTTATTTGTAACTCTTAAAAGATTATAGATTCTAAAATTGGTAATGAAGAACCTTAATTTGCTTATTTCAATGTGATGTTATCTGTCTGACATCTCATTTGCATTTTTCATTCATCTATCAATAAATAATTACATACATATTTTTTGACCTTTGTGTTTGAAGGTAAGCAGCTGCTCCCTTTGTCCAGCAGTGTACATAGCAGTGTGGGACCGGTGACTTCGCAGTCTTCAGGAGAAGCATCAAACCTAGTTCGAATGAGAAACCAGTCCTTTGGACAGTCTGCACCTTCTCTTACTGCTGGATTGGTAAGTGTTTTTAAAGAAAGCGTCTTGCTCCTGGAACAAATTTTTGATCTTCATTTGTCATTGTCACGTGCTGATTACTGCCTCATGCTGTCATAGTACGATTTAGTGAGTCTGAAAGAAATAATGTAAACTGAGTGTGGTGGTGCACAGTTATAATTCCAGCTACTTGGGAGGCTGGAATAGGAGGACTGCATGTTTGAGATCAGCCTAGGCAATTTAGCATAATCTTGTCCTGGCTAGGAGAAAGATTCAGTTTGCTTATAATTTTAATGAATACAGTTTATTGAAAATAACTTTCTTTTTATAGAAATGATTCTAAGTCTTGTGAAGGTATGTTTCTTTTGTGCACAGCCAAATGGAATTTAGTAATGAGGATAGGGAACATGTTGGATAGTTAAATATGTATTGGATGAAGGGATCAGCTTTTTCTTTGTGTAGGCTTTGTATGATAGGCAGTGCCTTACCTGGGTGTGTCACAGCTTGTTACTGTACCTAAAGAACCTATTAATTTTCCACTCAATTTCACTCTCTTTGCTATATCCTTTGGAACAACCAGTTTGGTACTGTAATAGAATCTTACTCTCATAAAAGTGAAATTTCATTTATACTTTTGGATCATATGCTTTTTGGGTCAACATAATGGAGTAGAAGACTATTCATTTGTTTATTTTTTTGAAGTGGGAATGAGGAAAGGAACTATTCATGAAGTAAGTAGAGAACAGATTTCTTGATCACACTTGAATGGGATCCTTTGGTCATAGAAAGAAGATCACTTGTGCCTTTATACCTTCTCCAGCTTTTATTTTGAAAATTTCTAACCTATACATAACCTTAATGAATAGTATACTGAGCACCTATATAAACTTTTTAACCTAATTCTTTTTTTTTGTACCAGGGATTGAACTCACAACTGCGTGCTTGCAGTACTTCTGCTGCTGAGCTAAATCCCCAGCCCCTATATAAACTTTTTGGTTGATCAGTTTGTAAACATTTTGCTATATTCGTTTTATTTGTATGTATGTAAGATTTCTTTTCTGTGACATATCAAAGCAAGTCACAGATATTATAATGTATGAAGTATTTCTCCTAAGGTCAAGGAGAGTCTTCCAAATAAATAAGTTTAGCCTATTATCAAATTCAAAAACTTTAGCACCAATTTATTAATAGCATTGAATGTAAAAATCATATTCAGATATCTTTGCCAGGTGCCAACATGCTTATGAAAGCCCCTTTAACCTTTGGAAATGTCTACACACACACACACACACACACACACACACACACGTATATGAGATACTTGTGCCTTCATAAAAATTTTGATACAGATGTTTAAGGGCAGTCCTAGATATCGCCCCCTTCCTCCTCTTCTCCCTTTCTCCCTTCTTTCCTGTGCTGGAGATCAAAACCAAGTCTTTGTGCTTGCTTAGTTAGTCATTCTGCTACTTGGCTGCAACCTCACCCCAACATCTGCATTTTCTTTACAGTATTATGTCTAATTCTAACACACCCTCTTTTATTTATTGTTTTCTTTATTATTTGTTGTTGTAGTTTTTTGAGACAGGGTTTCACTATGCAATTCAGGCTGGCCTTGAATTCACTTTGTAGCATAGGCTGGCCTCAAACTCACAGTGATCCTCCTAGTTTAGCTTTCCCAGTGCCAGAATTATGTGTGTGTGTGCCACCATGCTCAGCACACATCCCTTTTTAAAACTACTGTACTAGACTCAAGATGATTGTTTCATATCAAGTGGGCGTGTTTTAGAAGATATTCTTAGACTGAGATTGCTTGAGTCCTACCCTAGGTCAAGCAGTGGATTGAAGTTGTCTTCCAGTGTCCATGGAAGACTGTTCTAGGATGCTGTTGAGATACTAAAATCTACAGATGCTCATCTTATTCAAAATAGTATAGTATTTTCATATAACCTATGCATATCCTCTTACATACTTAAATTTTCTCTCAGTTACTTACGGTACTATTACAATGTAAATACTATGCAAATAACTGTTACATTGTATTGTCTAGGCACTAATGATAAGAAAAAAATTTTCATATATTCAATACAGATTTTTAAAAATCTGAATATTTTCAATCTGTGACTTGCCAAATTTATGGATACTGAGCCCTCAGCTTACTGATATGTAGTTCTTATGTGATATAATTCATGTGTTTAATGTCTTTGTTCGGTGATTTTTATTTTACAGATATGTACAGCTAGTAATTGCAATAGTCAATTTTAGATTATTTTCAGGATATTAGAAAGAAATTTTATAGGCCTAAGTCTGTAACCTCAGCACTGTGGGAGGCGAGGCAGAAGAATCTTTAAGTTTGAATGAAAATCAATTTAGCAAGATTCTGCTACCTCAAAATAAAAAATAAAATAAGACGGTGCTGTAGCTCAGTGAAGGCCCTGGGATCAATCTCTAGTAGCTCCTCTATCCTTGATCGGTTTTTGCTATTGCTTCCTCACCTCTGTTCCCTAGGTGACTACAAATCTATTTTCCACTTTTATTTTTTTAAGAGCAGAAAATATTTATCAGGGAAAAGAAAGTTTAAGGTTTTTTTTTTTTTTGTACCGGGGATCGAATTCACAACCTCGCACCTGCCAGGCAGGCACTTACACCACTGAGCTAAATCCCCAGCCCATATAGGAAAAGAAAGTTTCTAGGACAGACGGTTCTGAGTGGTTTGTTGGCAATGCCACTTCTCAAGGGATTTTTATAGAGCAAAACCATAAGGTTAGATGAGAGGGAAAAGGTAGAGTGCCCTGAGGCCTTTCAGTTTTGCTTGCCCAGCTGGGAAGAATGGTCTGAGATCTGGGCCTCCACTGCAGAGTGCTGTCCAACTTGCAGTGGCTACCTCTACAATCAGGGAATAGTGTTGGGGCCCCCTTGAGGTGGCTTGGTTTTCTGCAATGGTAGTAGGTAAGTTTAGTCGTTAAGCTCTTCTTGGAGCTCCAAGACTCAGATTTAGGGTCTATTCTTTTTAAGGGTGCAACAAAGGCAGCCAGTTTGTTTGGTCTCTTTGTTTTCTCCCTGGGCTTTTTCCTAATCTTGATTATAAACTACTGAGGAGGCTGTTTTCATTAAAGTATCAAGTGAGGTATCTGGAGCAAAAGCTATCTTTTGTAGCTTTTTCCTAATATCTGAAACTGAGTAATAAACTTGTCTTTATTTATTTATTTATTTATTTATTTATTTATTTTTTATCGGTACTGGGGATCGAACTCACAACCATACACTTGCAAAGCAGGTGCTTATTCCGCTGAGCTAAATCCCCCACCCCAATAAAGAATAATATGTCCTTCTGTCAAATCAGGAGGATGTATGTTTTATCAGTATCTCATGTAAACAATCTAATGTTGCAGAGAGGTTTTCATTTTTCTCCTGTAAATAGTTAACAATTTAAAATAACTGAAGAGCTTACTTCTTAGACCTTCAAGAATACATGTTTGAAAATGCTCCTTATTCTAATCCCTCATCAGGTTGATAGGTCAGTGGAGGTCTTATATAGGGACTGCTTGGTTTCCAGTAGTACTGGCTGTTCCCTTGGCTGTCTTCTGAGCTTCTAAAGTTAAATTTATCTCCAAACATAATAGCAGTTTGTAATCCCACTGTGTCTCACTAAAAGCCAGTGTTTGATTTAAGAGTAGCATTGCATCTCCCCAGGCTGTTTTATAAGTTTGAGTAAGTCTTCCAAAGACCTCAGTGTACTTATCACGGTCATTTAAAAACTTTCCCAAATCTTGTTTGATCTGTCTTAAGTCACTGAGAAAAAAAGTTATATGAATACAGGTAGTCTCTCATATGGCTTATAGTTATATTTTGAACACGTAAGAATTATTTCTTAATGTAAAGAATATCTGAACATAAAGGATAATTCTGTCCATTTTCCCTGTTTCTTATAGTACAGTTCTAGTGTGGAATTCCATTTTGGCACTATGGGATAAGCAGGCCATGCATGGGTGCAGAAAAATATTAAATTGCTCTTTTTCAATATGTGAGGGTTGAATATTTTCTAGTACTTAAGAATATATTCCAAAGGAGTAAGAGATTTTGGCGCTCAGTATCCAGTCTGAAAATATAAGAGTGCTCACTTTGGCAACACTGAAAATACAAGACAAAAAGTTAGGCAACCCATTTAGGACCTCTCCTGCTTCTCAGAAGCTATTTCTGTTCCCCATTCTTTTTCCCTTATAAATTTTTGTACACTTAAAAAAATTGCTGTATCTTTAATTTCTACTTGATTTTTATATCCCCAAGGTATCCTCTGAGGTGACCAACTCTAGAGCAGGTAGCTGCCGTCGGATAGAAATCAGAAGATAGATCTGGTTGAATTTTCTACCCTTATTGGCTCCGCAACCCAGTCTTCCCCAGGAACTTGAGCTGTGTTTTTAAAATCACTAGTTAGAATTGATCTCAGCAGTAAATCATGTTTAATGAAGGAAGCATTGCTTAGCACTAAACCATTGCTTTCTAGTTCTTTGTGAGAAAGTGAGGGCAAAGAACAAAGAGCCAGTTGGAAGTAGTTTGAGGCTTCTCAACCTTGAAAAGAGATCATCACCTCTAGAGATAGGTTCAGGTAAGAATGACTTAGTTAAATTTTGTTGGGCCTTAGGGCAGAAAAGCCTTTAAGACATTCCTGTTACCTGTCTAACCACCCGGGCAGTGTTTTCTAGCAGCAAGATAGGGGTATGCTTTTTAAAGTGCATTTTAAAATTTCTGCTTCTCACAGGTTAAACCTATACCCATTACTTACCAACCACAATTTTCATGTCAGTAAAGGCACATTCATCAGTGTTCTTCAATCACATCAAAGAAGAGAAAGGCTGACTTAAACCTTTCTTATTTTTAGCATATGCAAGGCATAAATGTAAATCATTCCCCTGGTAGCTGCCTTCCTCGTGAAAGGCAAACAGTTATTGCAAGCTGCCTCAGGCGGAATAAGTGGGGATGGTCTGACAATAAGGTGATTCTAAAGTTAACAAATGCTTATTTTCTAT